CCCAGACACCCCCACACAACACACCCCACGCCCCTGCCTTTCCAAGACTACAACCACATGGAGAAACTGAGGGTGGCTAATGTGACTCCTAAAATAACCTCACCCCGAGCACCCCAAGCTGGACAAAATGAATTGACCCCAGAGGGACTGGGGCCAAGGGCCTGCCAGGAGCACCATGTGAATGTGGTGCAAGGGTAGGTGAGTAGGCTGCCAGGCCCCAAGAAACCTCAACTGACCCTGAGCCCAAGTGGCTGCAGACCAAAGTAGGGACAGTCTTTCCAGTTTAAAAGTGGTTTCTACATGCACACATGTCACCTAATGTCTGTGGGTCCCAGGCTGCCCTGTGGGAATCCCCCCCCCTCCTCCTCCTTCTTCTCTCCTCTCCCTTCCCCTCCCCCATCCCCTTCCTTCTTTCCCCTCCCCTTCTGTCCTTTCCTCTTCTCCCTCCCGCTTCCAACTAAGGTCACATTCAGGGTTTTCGCTGGCATGCATCCTACCACTGAACCATCTGCCCCCACCTCCTAGGCTGTTTTCTTTGACAGTTTCCTTCCAGTCCTGACTGGTGAGGTCCAGAGTCAGAAGCATTTCAGAGATGAGGGTGTAGCTTAGTAGCAGGTGGTTCTGTCACACAGTATAAGGTCTTGAGTCTGACCTCCATTTATGCGTGTACACAAACCCAAGATCAGAGGCCTTGTATCCGTGATCTGCCCTGCTCCTGCTCCCACACCGTGTGCTCTAAGCCCTAGAGAAGCCCCTGAACCAGAGGCTCCTATGTGTCAGCACTGTGTCCTAACTACAGAAGCCCATGCACCAGAGTCCCCTGTGTGTCAGCACTGTGTCCTAATAGCACGCTAGGCAGTCAAGGTCTGGAGGAGAGCCATGATGAACACATGAAATCTGGCTGCATTACCACACTGTCCATGTTGTGATGTACATTACGGAGAAGATAATATAAGGTAACACACCAGAGTCACTGCAGAGCAGCAGCCACCGGTGTTTCAAAAACCAGTCACACAGCGTCTCAGGCCCTGCCCAGCCTAACTCCAGACGCTTTTATCCCTGGGAAGAAAACAGTAGATGCACCCAGATTCTGTGGTATATCCTCCAAGATCAAGGAACAAGTGTTATCCACAACAGAACACTCCATACACGATAAGCCTCTGCAGGCGTGTCCCCTACCTAGAAACTGGAGGAGTTGGGCTAAATGGGGCAATTTTTCAAGCTGAAAAAAATTCTTCTGAATATAGAGACATTAAGAGTCTAAGGACTGTGTATTGAAGAGGGGACAGGGACCTTTCTCTGTAGTCCTCAGTCATATCAAGAGGTCTGCTGGATGTAATATGAGCCTTTGCTGTTCAGAGAACCTCAAGCAGGACTGTTACAGGCTTTTCGTGAAGTCCAGACCAGAGTGGACCCAGGAAGCTGGTCAGTCTTCCTATCCAGCCCCACTCCCAACTTCCCCCATTCAACCTCCCTCCACCCCAGTTCTGGGAAAAACCAGTCCTTTCTGTGGCTGATGCAATGGGCTCACAGGCCAGTATCCCAGGCCACACTGGTCTTCTGAGACTATGGAGTAGGAGGAGTGCTCCTCCTCAAAATGCTCCCTCATCACTCCATCAGTCACAAATATCAAACTGTCATGGCTACAAGACTGTATGGTGATCTGATCACACAGCCCCTAACATTGACTGATAGGAAACTGAAAGCCAATTTCTATTTCCATCTACATTTTGCTTCCTGTGCTGGGAGAATTCACCTGCCACATTTATCACTTACTCTAAGGCCCTGATACTTTAAAACCTGTCAATACTTGTCACTGTTTTGTGCTTATCTGAGAACCCTTGGAAGGCAATATCCAAGTCTTTCCTTTTCCCCTGCCCTGCAATTCAGGATGCTGTTTCCTTCCTTGCTTACCAAAAGGGTTAGTGGTATTTATTTATTCGTTTTATTTATTTATTTATTTATTTATTTTCAAGACAAGGTTTCTCTGTGTAACAGTCCTGGCT